CTTAGCCAGGCATGGTGGTTCCAGCTACTTGGAAGGCTGAGGTGGGAGGAATGCCTGAGCCCAGCAAGTCAAGGCTGTGGTAGCTGGGCGACAGAGTGCGACTTTGACTCAAAATACATACATACATACATAAAAAGTCACCTGGGTCATGTAGGGAGAGAAAAAAAAGCCAGTAACTAGGGCTGGGTGGCAGAGTGAAACCTCAACTCTAAATAAATAAATAATAAAAAGAAAGGTCACCCTGGGCGACAGAGTGAGACCTCAACTCTAAATAAATCAATAAATCAATAAATAATAACAGGAAAAGTTACCCTGGGTCATATGGGGGGGGAGTCAGTACCATGGATATTCTAGAAATTCTGAGAATAAGGGACTGCGAATCTGAAGTTAGAGTTGTTTACTTGCTCTAATTATTTAATATAAATTTCTTCTGATTTTCTGTGAGTTATACTCTGGTTGACGGCAAAGTGTGATCAATTGAAAAGAATGTCTATTTAGGCAGTAAACAAAATTATATTTCCACATATGCCCAACCCTTTTAATGCCTGAGGATAGTGTCTTAGGTTGCTAAATATTTCCATATATGTTACTGATCAAAGATACCACTTTATCCTTGCATGGGTATCATGAAATGGCAGTCAGTCAGCAAGCACTGGCTGTTACTGTATTCATTATGATTAGCTGAGCCAACCGAAAAATAATTGCCCAGTTTGGCTTCTGCCACACCCAGTCAACCTAGGAAGAAGTGACATTCAACGCTATGCAAAGCCCAGGGGAAGGAATGAGTGTGGCTTCCATAGAGACACTGAGGATGTCACCTGATTAGAGAAGTGCACGAGGTGCAGCCTGCTGAGAAATAAGACACCCGGTCTCTGGAGGGGACCTGGGAGCCAGACAGAGGAGTTTTGGCTCTGTGTGGTAAGTGCTCACTTCAGAGTAATCTAGATTACTCAATTACTAGATTGCTGGGATTACTAGATTACTAGTAAGCACTCTGTATGGTAAGCACTCAATTCAGAGTAATCTAGATTGTAGATTCCTGGGCTTCACCTCAAACTTATTTATTTACTCAGTAGTGGGCATTTGGGAATTTGTGTTTTATCAAGTTACCAGATGTTGCTTAAGCACACAGAAGTTTAAAAACCACTATTGCAGATATAAGATTTAAATCCTTTATATATATTTTTTAATTTAAAAGTTTTTTTCAGCTTCATTAAGGTATAACTGACAAATAAAATGTGTACATGTAGTTATCCCTAACGAGCAGTAGCTAAACACTGTGTGCACACGGGCACAAAGATGGGAACAACAGACACAGGCTCTCTTAAAGAGATGTGGATGAGGGCTAAAAGCTACCCACTGGGGGCCACACCCACCACCTGCGTTACTGGCTCCATAGATGTCCAAGCCTCACCATCACACAGGTACCCTCTGAGTCAAAATAGAAAAATAAAATTGTACATATACGCATATCAAAAATCTTTCCGTGCCTATACTCATGCAATAGTTAGATTTATGTGCATTTTTATTGTCTGATATTCAGCCATATACATCTTATTCAATACTGAATATAAAATACATGCAAAGAATCCATTGCCTATTAAATATTTGTTTTATCTAAATACATATACTTTTTTATCTTAAATACATGTTTTTGAAATATGTATAAATTGTGAAATGATTATCACAATCAAGCTAATTAACATCTATTACCTCCCATTGTGCGTGTGTGTCTGTGTGTGTGGTGAGAATACTTAAGATTTACCCAGCCGGGTTCAGTGGCTCAGCCTGAATTCCCGCGCCTTTGGGAGGCTGAAGTGAGTGGATTGCCTGAGCCCGCGGGTTTGAGACCCGCCTGGGCATCGAGACCTCATCTCTACAATAATAAAAAAATCAGCCGGGCGTGGTAGCGCATGCCTGTAATTCCGGCTACTTGGAGGGCTGAGGCGGAAGGATCGCTGGAGCCCAGAAGATCGAGGCTGCGGTGGCCGGGAGTGGCCACTGCACTCCAGTCTGGGCAACAGAGTGAGACTCCAACTCAAAAAAAAAATTTACCCTATAAATTTTTAGTATATTTGATTAATAACCACAGCCAACATGCTGTACATTGTCTCCAGAACTTCATCTTATAGCTGAAAGCTTACACTCTTTCACCCAAGTTTTCTCATTTTCCCTATTTTAGCCCTTGGTAACCACTTTTCTACCATGCTCTGTTTCTGAGTTGGACTATTTTGAATTCCACATATCAGTGAGATCATGCGGTATTTGTGTTTCTGTGTCTGGCTTGTTTCATGTAGCATAATACCCTGGAGGGTTGTCCATATTGTTGCAAGTGGCAAGATTTCCTTGACCTAGAATCACATTCTTAAGATATTAAACAATGTGAAATAAGGTACCTTTGAGCTGGTGTTCAGATCACTTTTAGGATGACAAGATGAGGTGAGACTGAAGGCAATGGAATTGACGAGAGAAACCGCCATCCGTGACAAGAGCAATGAGGCCTTCACCAGGATCTGATAAAGGAATAGCTAGATAGGATCCGTGACTCTGACCATTATCATAGAATTCAGTGACTAAGTGAGTAGGAGATACAAAGTGGAAGACAGCAAGTGTTCAAAATGGACTACATGTCTTTAAGTTCATGTAAAGAGAAGGATAAAGACACTGACACAAACGGAAATTTCAGAATGGCTAGTTTTGTAGACAGTTCACCTTGGGGCATGTTAGATGATGGTGATACTTTTAAATGGAAACTTAAGGAAATAATTGAAAGAAAGAGGCGCTCCAAGCTTGCATGGCAGATCTTGGCTAGACAATAGATGACATTTGTATGGAACACCTTTCAATAAGGCTTCTCTGTTTCCTTACCCCTTTAAATTGTCAAAAATAAGTATTTCACACATAAAGGATTATATGAGCTAAATGTTAATCATGTGGGCAACCTAAATGAAAATGTTTTAAATTTAGGCATGATCCTAAATTTACAGTTTATTTACAGTTTATTTCAAAGATCAAAATGTATGGATAAAGTGAACGTATTTAATTATTTTGCTCTTTCTAAGCAGGCTGTAAAATCCTTAAGTGTTGGGCAAGGTAGTGGAAACTCTTTCATATACCCCGGTGAGGTGTATAAAAACTTAGTTGAACCTAGCTTTAAAGCGATCCTTAGACAGACCTGACAATATACAGCACCTCTTACCCCTGGAGTTAAACTTGTTTTTGATAATTCCCTTGGGTCCAATTCTCAGCTATGCTGCAGTCCTTTGAGAGGCTAATTAAGATACCTGGTTCATATGAGGATTGTTGTCTGAAAATTAAAAGTTAGAGTGAGCCCCAAATCCCAGACTGGGTTGGCCCGCTGGGAGATTTTCTAGGATTAGATATGCCCTTAACCCAGGCTGTTTGTTCCAAACTGTTGTCTTGGTTGGAGTAGAATTAGAAAAGGATATATGAGGAGACCTTTGATGGCTCTTATAAGCTATCCATACTTCTACCAAAGTATACAAATGCTACAAATAAATAAATCTTTTGGTTGCAAGTGTTTCAGTTTTGACTTGATCCTACTTTGAGTAAAAAGGAAAAACTATTTAGCATATATAGTAATTAGCAATGTCTTATTGATCATATTGTAATAAAAAAGATGAGAATGTTCCCAGAGGAGTGAAGTTCTCTTTCTAAACTCCAGAATATGCCTATACTCTTGTAAGAATTAGACCTATGTATGTTTTTTGTTGTCTGATATGCAACAATATATATTTTAAGAAATATTGAATATAAAATACATGCAGAGAATCCATTGCATATTAAATATTTGTTATATCTAAATGAACCCATTCTTTGAATTTTCTCACCTTAAATTTATATCTATATTGTTACAAAAATCACATTACTAGAATAAGTTTATATTTCATTCCTGTCCAACATTCTACGGTGTTTGTGTCAATTAACTTAATAAATTAATTAAAGTAAATATGAACAGATTTTAATGATTTTAATACAAAGAAATTTAAAGCAGATTCAAATGTGTTCTCTACCAAACATTTACTTTACTTAGACTTTTGGGTTGTATCACATATGCAAAAATAAATACACTTATTCATTTATTTGACAAATACTCAATGAGTATATATGTTGCATCTACTATGTTCTATGCACTGTGCTAAGTGCCAAGGATACCACAGGAAATAAAGCATGACTGGGTCATCAAGAAGTTTCACTTTATTCTATAATGATGATAATAACATTTTACCTTCAAATAGAAATTTTGATCTGTCTTTGTAATAATAAATCAATAAAGCCTATAGATTATTTCTAGAAAGAGGTTCCACAGAAGAAATTCTGTTGCAAAACTGAACTTAGAACTCTAATTTTATTTGTTTTATTTATTTATTTATTTATTTTGAGTTGGAGTTTCACTGTGTCGCCCAGACTGGAGTGCAGTGGCACGCTCCCGGCCACCACAGCCTCGACCCAGCTGGGCTCCAACGATCCTTCCGCCTCAGCCTTCCAAGTAGCTGGAACCACAGGCGCGCGCTACCATGCCTGGCTAATTTTTTGATTTATTGTAGAGATGAGGTCTCACCAAGTTGCCCAGGCAGGTGTCGAACCTGCGGGCTCAGGCAATCCACTCACCTCAGCCTCCCAAAGTGTGGGATTACAGGCTGAGCCACCGAGCCTGGCAGAACTCTAATTTTAACTAACTCCTGCTAGTTTTCAATAATATAGACACCCAGGCTTTCAAATTTGGAATTTTGCTCTCTTGGAAACTTATATCACCAGGAAACTCAGCGTTTGTTAACTTAATGCTATTGATTGATTTGGTCTGCGGACAAAGTCCTATGTTGTATAAATTGATACAAAATGTTTGAGCCTGGTAATTTTATTTGCAAATCTTTTATCATTGATGTCCTTATAAATGTAAGATGATTCACTGTTTTTGTAACTTTGCATCCTTTATTGACAGATTTTTATCTTTTCATCTGTTGCTTACTTTTTCCTAGGTTTTAGGGAAAAAGCCAGAGCTTCGGGAGGGAGATGATGATGATGACATCATAGCAGATATAAGTAACAGGAAAATGGCTAAACTGTATATGGTGAGTTCATTGTTCTTGAGTGCGCCTGTTCCACTGGATTGGTTGTAGTTAGGGAGTCCTGTATCAGCAGATACTCTCTGCCCTGGTTGATAACTCTCACCATTGCCTCAAAGAGAAATGTGTAGATAGATTCAATTCTTTGCTCTTGCATATTTGTTACCATTATTCTTTTTATTAAAAATAACAAATATGTGAACTTATTGCTATGACTTACATAAAATTATACATGGAGGACCCCCAAAACACAGACTTTATTTATAAAAAATTGTGTACTTATTCTCACATGTTTAAACTTCAGTCACTTTCAAAGTACTCTCCTTTTGATGCAATACACCTATTGAGAGGCTTTTTCCACTGCTCAAAACAGTTTTTGAGCTATCAATTTTGATGCCTTTTAGAGCTTCTGCCATTTTTGTTTCACCTCTTCCACATCGGCAAAACATTTCCCTTTGAGGACTTTATTCATCCAGTGGGAGATAAAATGTAGCTCAAGGCTAGATTGGTGAATAGGGAGCTTGAGCCTCAGAGGTCATGCTGGTTTTGGTCAAAAACTGCTGAACACTCAGTGTTACGTGAGCAGGTGCGCTCGTAAATCACCCATTGTGAAATGGGCAAACACGTTGAAAGAATCTCCAAAAAAAAAAAAAAAAAATTCACTGAAACTGAACATAGCCTCTCACACCAACCCTAGCTGGTACCCGGATGCCAATGGGTTCCCAGAACACTTATCTATCAGGGGAAGCCTATACCACAAGGTGCCCACCCTCCAAAAAGTAATTCCAGTTTTTTTGGGTCCCCCTCGTTTTGTTGCTGTACTAGTTTGCAACAATATGTTTTGACACATGGCATTCAATGAAATGCTTTTTTTTTTTAATAGAGTAAAAATCTTTTGTAAGCTTTTTCTTATAAATTATTGAGATTATAAAATCTTCACTTTGTTTAAAATAGCCTCTTTAGCCATTATGAAGACTTTGAAGACTTTCTTTGTAACAGGAAGGCAAAGCTGTAAAACCAAACCACTTTTGGAAGGAAACTTGTAAAAACAGTCCCATCCTGGTCATTGGTTCCATGTCTGCTCTATGACAAAAGACTGGCTGTGTGACCCTGGATAAAACATAATCATTCTGGATCTCAGTTTTCTTACCTAAAAAAGAAAAGAAAAAGAAATTATATTAGACGATTCCTTGGGTTCCGTTCAACCATGTAGTTTTATGCTTTTATTATTAGTAAAGTGACAAAAGCTGTAAGACATGGCAGTTAGAGACTGTTGGAAGGGATTCTTCAAACGTTCCCTCCCCTGGTAACTTTCTGAATGTGCATTTTTGAGCAGCTCATAATCCCCTGCAGAATGTAGCAGTTTTCTCATCTGTAACAGGAAGGAATTATATTTGCTGTTCTTTCAGGCACTTACTGGTTCAGAACACTTGATTTTAAAGGAGATGGAGTTACCAACTTTTGCAGCATAACTTCCTTCTCAAAACAGAGAAGCATATTCTTTTCTTCCTAGATGGCAAGGGGAAATAGGGTTACAATTGTTATCTGGATACTTCGTGCCACATTTTAAACACTTTTTGGAGACCATCATACTTAGTGATCTGTCACAGAAACAAAGAACTGAATACCGAATGTTCTCACTCTTAAGTGGGACCTGAACATTAATCACATCAGCATAAGGGTGGGATCGGCAGTTGATGGACACTTCCATGGAGGGACAGAGGGAGGGGACAAGTAGGATCACAAAGGGTACCTGGTCCTAAACCAGAGAATGTGAGGGCCAGTTAGAGGTCCAAACTTCACCTGCACGCAGCCGGCTTGTGTAACTAATCCTGACTTGTACCCCACATATCTATAGCTTTTAAAAAGAAAAAAATCAGCCGGGCTCGGTGGCTCAGCCTGTAATCCCGTGCCTTTGAGAGGCTGAGGTGAGTGGATTACCTGAGCCCGCGGGTTCGAGACCCGCCTGGGCAACTTGGCGAGACCCCATCTCTACAATAATCAAAAATCAGCCAGGCGTGGTAGCGCGCGCCTGTAGTTCCGGCTACTCGGAAGACTGAGGTGGAAAGGATCGCCGGAGCCCAGCAGGTCGAGGCTGTGGTGGCCAGGAGCGGCCACTGCACTCCAGTCTGGGCGACAGCAAGATTCCAACTCAAAAAAAATTAAAAATTAAAATTAAAATTAAAAAAGTAAATAAAAGAAATCACTATTTCTAATATTTATTTCAGCAACTTAAATACTTCACATCATTAATCAAAACTGTTCTCCCTCTTGGACAGCGTTATGGACTAAAGATATATTTTTAAATGGGAAAATTTTTGTCTGGAATCATGGCTTCCTCTAGTGGAACTCTAATGTATTGCATGCGTCTACAGTATAAAATCTTTGAAAATAATTAGGGATTGCCAAGCAAGGCTGGGAAGCAGCATTGCCTGAGACATCTTTTAAAAATACAGAATTCAGACTCCATCCTGGTGCTACAAAACCCCATCACTGAACTAGAGAGGGCTCTGGAATCTGCATATTTAATTGTCCAGGTAATCACACTGTTGCCTACAAGCTGGCCTTTAAAAACCAGTGAATTCTGCTGTGGCTCATGCCTATAATCCCAGCACTTTGGGAGGCCAAGGTGGGAGAATTGCTTGAGCCCAGGAGTTCAAGTCCAGCCTAGACAATGTAGCAACACCTTGTTCCTACAAAAAAAATCAAAATGTTAGCTAAGCGTATTTGTGTGCACCTGTAATCCCAGCCACTTGGGAGATTGGTATGGAAGGATCCCCTGAGCCCAGGAGGTCAAGGCTGCTGTGACCATGATTGTGCCACTGCACTCCAGCCTGGGCAACAGAGTGAGATCCTGACGAAAGAAAGAGAGAGAGACAGAGAGAGAGAAAGTAAATTCAAACCTGTACATTGGCATCATTTTTTTTTGTAAGACCACTTACATTTTTTTTTTAAGTTGGAGTCTCACTCTGTCACCCAAGCTGGAGTGCAGTGGCACGCTCACGGCCACCACAGCCTTGACCTGCTAGGATCAGGTGATCCTTCTGTCCTGCCTCAGTCTCCCAAGTAGCAGGAACTACAGGTGTGCACTACTACACTCAGCTAATTTTTTGGTTTACTATAGAGATGAGGTCTTGCCGAGTTGCCCGGACTGGTCTAGAACCCATGGGCTCAGGCAGTTCTCTCGCCTCCGCTTCCCAAAGTGCTGGGATTATAGGTGTGAGCCACTGCACCTGACCTAAAAAAATTTTTTTTAATGTTCTTTAGTCATTTTCAAACATGACAGAAGACATTCACATTGCATTTACAGAGTTGTGCAGTCATCACCATAATCTAATTTTAAAACATCTTTATCATCCCAAACCTAAACCATTTTGGGGCTCATGGCTTTTCCATTAGGTTTCAGATGCCAGTGGCTCCATGAGTGTGACTGTGGTGGCAGAAGAAAACCCCTTCTCTATGGCAATGCTGCTTTCTGAAGAATGTTTCATTTTGGACCATGGGGCTGCAAAACAAATATTCGTGTGGAAGGGTAAAAAATGCTACATTTCAAATGTATAACATCTTATTTATTATTCTAATTTTTTTAAAGCCTTTCTTTTAAGACTCAATCTGTAATTGTCTCACATAAAATATAGCCATTTGCCTTCCAATAGCATAACTTTCCAGGGACCAGGGAGTTTTTAAAAAGCATGTGGGGCTGGGCACAGTGGCTCATGCCTGTAATCAACACTTTGGGAGGCCTAGGTGAGAGGAATGCCTGAGCCCAGGGGTTCGAGACCAGCGTGGGCAACTTGGTGAGACTTTGTCTCTCCAATAAATCAAAAAATTAGCTGGGCGTGGTGGTGCTCACCTGTGGGTCCAGCTACTTGGAAGGCTGAGGCAGAAGGATCGCCTGAGCTCAGCAGGTGGAGGCTGCAGTGGCCGTGAGTGTCCAGCATGGGCAACAGAGTAAGACTCCAACTCAAAAAAATTTTTAAAAAGGCAGTTGGGCAATATAAAAAGAGTCTTTTTATAAATGACATTCATTACTGTATTGTTAAATATACTTAATGAACTAAGAAGTTTTTTGCTGTGCTTTCTTTGCTGTTTTTTACATTGAACTATGATTATGTTTATTTGGGCACAAATACTTCTTATTCATATAATATATTCCCTTTCTGCAGTTCTGTCACTTTCACTTACTTTGTATTTTAGGTAAAAATGCTAATCCCCAGGAGAGGAAGGCTGCAATGAAGACAGCGGAGGAATTTCTGGAGCAGATGAATTATTCCACCAATAGCCAGGTATATGTGAACATGAACTTACCAGAAAAAAAGGTAAAACCTGGGAGCTCATGACATCACAAAACTTAAGAAAGAATTTGGTTCAAAGTAATGTATGCATGTGAAGTCATTCTCCACTAGCGTGGTGTACAGTCTTGGGTCATATGTCACTTATCCTTTATCTGTGTGGGGGATGAAATTTTGTAGAAACTGGAGATCAGATCCTCTGTAGGGCTGCCCATTCACTTCCTTCACAGCTTTTCAGTCAAGATAAGAAACCACAGTTGAAGCAAATAAGAACTTTTATTCCTTAGAGCAAGTTGTGCAGACTTGGGCTAATACCTAGGCATTATTTGTCTTCAACAAGACCAACTTAGACTGGCTAACTGCTCTTTTCCTTTCTGAATCTCTCAGCCTCATTTTTCTCTTCCTTTTTCTTTTTTTTTTTTTTTTTGAGTCATTGTCTTCCTCTGTCGCCCGGGCTGGAGGGCAATGGCATGCTCACAGCCACCGCAGCCTCGATTTGTTGGACTCAGATGATCCTTCCGTGTAGCTGGAACTACAAGCGTGTGCCACCATGCCTGGCTAATTTTTTTTGATTTGTTGTAGAGACGAGGTCTCGCCAAGTTGCCCAGGCTGATCTCGAACCCCTGGGCTCAGGCATTCCTCTTGTCTCTGCCTCCCAAAGTGTTGGGATTACAGGCATGAGCCACAGCGCCCAACTTCTCTTCATTTTTATGTGACAAAAATGAGAGATGTGAATTTCTTCCACGTCACAGATCTCTTGTGAACCTAATGTAGAAAGACCGACTTCTTTGACAGCAGTGGTAACCTATGTAAGGACTTCATTCTTACCTCAAGTGCTCAGATTCAGTGGCAATTACTTTAGTTGTGAGAAAAAGCTGGGTTGTATCATTTTAGCTTCATAGCTCCGAAGTTTTATATCTGTAATTGCAGAAACCACAATAATCTTTTTGTTTCCTTGATTCTTTCTCTGCTAATAGATTTTATATTTTCCCTCGATCTCTTATTTTTCTGCTTATTGTTGTTATTATTTTAAATTTCAGATTCAAGTTCTTCCAGAAGGAGGTGAAACACCGATCTTCAAACAATTCTTTAAGGACTGGAAAGATAAAGATCAGAGTGATGGCTTAGGGAAAGTGTATGTCACTGAGAAAGTGGCTCAGATCAAACAAATTCCATTTGATGCCTCAAAATTGCACAGTTCTCCGCAGATGGCGGCCCGACATAATATGGTGGATGACGGGTCTGGCAAAATGGAGGTATTTACCTATGCTTGTGTGTTTGCTTTCATCAAGTCCATTGATGGCCAGTGTATGTAGAAATATAACTTGAGGAAACTGAGAACATTTTCAAATGTGAATTTGACTTAGTAAAAAGAGTGGTTCAAGACTGTATACTGAATCATGGAATTTGAAGCTGGGAGGGCTGTTGTCTGGTCTTCCTCCACCATTTGTAGATGAGTAGGTCGAAATCACAAGAAGTCAGGCGGTTTGTGCCAGATCACCCGATTATCATTTCAGAGACCTGGCATGGAACCCCGCCATCTCACTTCCTGGTGAAAGACCACCTTTTCTCTAGGAAAGCTTGTGTCTGGGATTGTGCAGTGAGGGTGTGTTGCTTCACATCTACCCACTACCATCAGACTTTTCTTCCCCTCACACTGGGGGCGTTCATGAAAGCAAATTGGAAGCCGGGCTCGGTGGCTCAGCCTGTAATCCCGCGCCTTGGGAGGCTGAGGTGAGTGGATTGCCTGAGCCCGCAGGTTTGAGACCCGCCTGAGCGCTAGACCTCATCTCTACAATAAATCAAAAATTCAGCTGGGCGTGGTAGCGCATGCCTGTAATTCTGGCTACTTGGAAGGCTGAGGTGGAAGGATTGCCGGAGCCCAGCAGATCCAGGCTGCAGTGGCCGGGAGCGCGGCCATTGCATTCCAGTCTGGAGTGCAAAAAAAAAAAAAGAAAGCAAATTTTTTCCAAAAAAATTTTTCCAAAATAAAAAAAAAAGAAAGCAAATTGGGCATGCCTGTGCTAAAAACAGATATTTTTAGAGCATTGAAATTGTCTGTTTATTATTCCATTTTAGACATGGCTAAAGCTCTCCTAATTATTCTCCCTAATTCAAATCTATTCACACTCAATCCACTCTTGACTCATCTAACTTCATGAGAACTGGATGATGTCACCTTCTGTTTTATTATATATTTTAATTGGGCCAGGCACAGTGGCTTATACCTATAATCCTAGCACTTTGGGAGGCCAAGGTGGGAGGATTGCTTGAGGCCAGGAGTTTGAGACTAGCCTGGACTACATAACGATATCTGGTCTGGTGTGGTGGTATATGCCTGTAGTCCCAGCTACTTGGGAGACTGAGATGGATGGATTGCTTGAGCCCAGGAAGTTGAGGCTATAATGAGCTATGATCGCTGCACTCCAGCCTGCAACACAGTGAGACTCTGCATATGTGTGTGTGTGTGTGTATCCATCTTTACCTGGATCTACAAGGCCTTTGTTGATTTGACCCTTGCCTTCCTCTGCCTTGAAGGCTAACTCTTCCTCTCTGCCATCTGGCTAACATTTTTATTCCTCCCTCCATTATCTGACTAGCACCCTCATTCCTCCTTGGCAAATCTGTTAAGTTAAAAGCCACGCCTCTTCTGAGAAAGCCTCCCACAGTGCTGAAATAGACTCTCTCTGTCTCAACCTATAAGGATATTTTTCACAGAATTTATCATGTAAGTCCACAGAATTGTTCATTGACTCACAGGTTTCTCTTAGATCCCTCATTAGTTCCTTGAAGACGAAATTAGCTATTTTATCTCTGTATTCCTCGGGCTTACCACAATGTTTGTACCAGAATATATGATCAAGAAATTCAGGAAATAATGTTCTCTTTTTTTTTCAAAGATAGGAAGTGTGAATCTAAGCTTTGCAGAGTTTAGGGAGTGGGAAACGCCAAGAGAGAGGGTCACAGATGTCCCTCATAGCTGTCATTGGAGGGGTGTGGGTCTAGGTCCTGCTCACACATCCTCTCTGGAGCTCAGCCCAGGCAGCAGTCCTGGCTGCAGTCTCCATGTCGAGCCACAGCCTCTCTGAGACAACCTCTCTTGCCATGTTCAGGCTGCTGACATCCAGGGCTCGCTTTAGGCTCTTGGGTTTAAGGAGCCCGATTCGTGCTGCTGTTTCTCTTCTGCTCACCAGGTTGACTTGGAAAGGTTTTTTTCTGAAAGCACCACAGTCCCCTCTCCACTTGCTTGTCTCCAGATTTCAAAGCTGAGGAGATGAGGGGCACACAACCACCCACTGGTACCGTGTCCACTAGTAGGCCAGGGGAGGAATGGTTGGAAGCCCTAACCACAGAGACAGAGAAAGATCATTTCGGCACTGAGAGAGGCTTTCTCAGAAGAGGTGTGGCTTGTGACTTAATTGAGTTACCAAGGAGGAATAGGAGCATTAGCCAGATGGCGGAGGGAGGAGTAAAAGTGCTAGCCAGATGGCAAAGAGGAAGGGTTAGCCCTCAAGGCAGAGGAGGGCAAGGGTCAAATCAAGGAAGGCCTTGCAGGATGGATGTTTTCAGGAAGGCAGTGAGAAGCCATTAAAAAATACAAATTAGCCGGGCTCGGTGGCTCAGCCTGTAATCCCGCGCCTTTGGGAGGCTGAGGTGAGTGGATTGCCTGAGCCCGCGGGTTCGAGACCCGCCTGGGCAGCAAGACCTCATTTTTACAATAAATCAAAAAATCAGCCGGGCGTGGTTGCGCATGCCTGTAATTCCAGCTACTTGGAAGGCTGAGGCGGAAGGATCGCCGGAGCCCAGCAGGTCGAGGCTGCGGTGGCCGGGAGCGGCCACTGCACTCCAGTCTGGGCGACAGAGTGAGACTCCAACTCAAAAAAAAAAAAAAAAAAATACAAATTTATGAGGGGGGCCCAAAAAACCCAGAAGTTATTTATAAAATATCGTGTATTTAATCTTATATGCTTAAACTTCAGTCACCTTCGAAGTACTCTTTGTTTGATGCGATACACCTATCAAGAGACACTTTTTCCCCTGCTCAAAACAGTTTTTGAACATGTCAGTTTTGATGCCTTTTTGTGCTTCTGCCATTTTTTGTTTCACTTATTCCACATCAGCAAAATAATTTCCTTTGACGACATTTCATCTGGAGAAACAACCAAAAAAATCGCTTGGGAAGGGTGGGGCACTGGGGTCGTGCCATTTTTGGTCAAAATTGCTGAACACAGTGTGGTCTGGGCAGATGTGCTCTTAAATCACCCGTCACTAAATGGGCAAACATGTTGACTCTCCAAAAAAAAAAATTTTCCTGAACTCCAACGCAGCCTCTCACAGCAATGCTAAACTGGTACACAGATGCCGATGGGTTCCCAGAACACTTACTTAGCTGCTGGAGAAACCTATACTACAAAGGGCTCATACTCCAAGAAATAATTCCGTTTTTGTTTGGATCTCCCTTCATACTTACATAGCAAGTCCTCCCACAACTCTAAAATTAATTAAAAAGAAAAAAGAAAGCAGCCGGGTTCGGTGGTTCAGCCGCGCTCGGTGGCTCAACTCAAAAAAAAAAAGAAAAAGAAAGAAAAACTGGGTGTGGTGGCTTTATGTTTGAATCCCTTCAAGATTCATGTTGAAATCCTAACCTGTAATGTGATAGTATTAGGAGGTGGGGCCTCTGGGAGATGATTAATCCCAGCACTTTGGAAGGCCGAGGTGAGAGGATTGCCTGAGCCCTGGGGTTCAAGACCAGCCTGGGCAACTTGGCAAGACCTCATCTCTGCAATAAATTGAAAAATTAGCTGGGAATGGTGGCACGTGCCTGTAGTCCCAGCTACTTGGAAGACTGAGGTGGAAGGATTGCCTCAGCCTAGTAGGTCAAGACTGTGGTGGCCATGAGCATGCCATTGCACTTCAACCTGGGCAACAGAGTAAGATTCCAACTCAAAAAAAGAAAAAAAGCAAAGAGCCTGCCCTGCCCCTCCCAGGAGCGGGTATGTGTATGGGTGTGTATGTGCACGTTTTTGTACATGTAGTGCCTGGCAGCTTCTCACTCTTGTTTCATCTACAACTCTCATCTCTCCAACTTGAAATGTCTTTAATCCGTGATGAAGATGAGGCGGTAGGATAAAAGTATTTCTGCCTGCCTTGAACCCATAATGGCATTTCAGTCTTATGCCTGTATAGCAACTTTTGAAATAGAAGTCATGTTATTGGCATCTGTCTCAATCTATTCAGGCTGCTACAACAAAAATGCTATAGGCTGAGGGCCTAAACAACAGACATCTATTGCTCACAGTTGTGGAGGTTGGGAAATTCAAGATCAAGGTTTTACTAGATCCACTTCCTGGTTCATAGATAGATATCTTTTTTTCTTTTTTGGGGGTTGGAGTCTCACTCTGTTGCCCAGGCTGGAGTGCAGTGGTTCGCTCATGGCCACCACAGCCTCGACCTGCTGGGCTCAGGTGATCCTTCTGCCTCAGCCTTCCAAGTAGCTGGAACCACAGGCGTGCACCACACTTGGCTAATTTTTTTTTTTTAATTTATTGTAGATACGAGGTTTCTCTAAGTTGCCCAGGCTGGTCTTGAACCCCTGGACTCAGACAATCATCTCCTCCTCACAAAGTGCTGGGATTACAGGCATGAGCTACCACTCCTGGCTGTAGACAGATGTCTTTTGACTGTATCTTCACATGGTAGAAAGGAGCTGGATTGCTCTCTGATTATAAGGGCACGTATTCCATTCATGAAGTCTCCACCCCCATGACTTAATCACCTCCCCGAGGCCCCCACCTTCTACTACCATCATTTTAGGGGTTGGGATTTCAACATGAATCTTGAAGGGATTCAAACATTCCATTTATTTATTTATTTAGTTAGTTTTGAGTTGGCGTCTCACTCTGTCACCCAGACTGGAGTGCAGTGGCACACTCCCGGCCACCGCAGCCTCGACCTGCTGGGCTCCACCGATCCTTCCGCCTCAGCCTAAACTCAGGCAATCCACTCACCTCGGCCTCCCAAAGCACTGGGATTACAGACTGAGCCACTGAGCCCAGCCCAAACATTCAGTTCATTGCAGTGTCTTTATTATTTTGGTCAGAGTCTACCAACTCTCACCTGGGAAAATAACAGTCTTATGTCCTAAAACACAGGGGAAAAGAAAAAAAATTATTTCACAACTGATGAAAACATGTTGCTATAAATTTGATGTGTAATTCTGAGCTGAATATTACATTTTGTTATTCTGCTAGAATGTCATGTTATTTTCACTAATCAATGAAACAACGGGCATGTATTCATCAATAGACTCAGAACTGAGCTAAATCCCATGGAAGAAGCAAAAGAAATATAAGCACTTAAAAAGTCAACAAACATCACCAAATTCATAAAAATTTCTTCCCTTTGTTTGATTTGTAAACTAGTCACAAAAATAATTTAAGGCTGGGTGTGGTGGCTCATGCCTGTAATCCCATCACTTTGAGAGGCCAAAGTAGGAGGATAACTTGAGTCCAAGAGTTCAAGATCAGCCTGGGCAATATAGCAAGACCTTTGTCTCTACAGAAAATTAAAATAATAATAACTTAAAAGTTTTTAAAGACAAATTTGAACCAACAGTTATTTAAAATTGTATGAGAAGTATTATTTGATCAAGAACATTTTAATTTGGAATGCGTGTTGCATTTATTTCAGATTTGGCGCGTAGAAAGCAATGGTAGGGTGCAAATTGACCCCAACTCGTATGGTGAATTCTATGGTGGTGACTGCTACATTATACTCTATACTTATCCCAGAGGACAGATTATCTACACATGGTAAGTCTACCTCTAGCAAAGATCTCAGTTTTCACAGAGTTCAGATTTTGTTTCAAAGGATTAAATTCCATGCAGTATGGGCTAGAATAATTCTATAATTACCCTAGTGAGATTTATAGAGCATACACATGATATTTTCTTTTGACATGCTTTTGACTCTGTTTTGTAGCTGTTGTCCTCAGGCAGGAGAGTTACATAAAGTCATCCTGTCTAGCCTAGGAAAGAAGTCTTGACATCCTCAACAGTAGTGTTCTCTTAGTGATATGTCCTTGAATATCTCATCTTGTTTACAGGCTAACACTCCAGCGGCAAACGTTAGGTATCATGTCTTCTCTTTTTTTTTTTTTAGTTGGATTCTCACTGGAGTGCAGACTGGAGTGCAGTGGCCGCTCCCGGCCACCGCTGCCTCGACCTGCTGGGCTCTGGCGATCCTTCCGCCTCAGCTTTCCGAGTTGCTGGAACTACAGGCGCGCGCTACCATGCCCGGCTGATTTTTGATTTATTGTAGAGATGAGGTCTTGCCTGCCCAGGCGGGTCTCGAACCTGCAGGCTCAGGCAATCCACTGACCTCAGCCTCCCAAAGGCGCGGCATTACAGGCTGAGCCACTGAGCCCGACCATGTCTTCCTCTTATTAAAATTCACAGAAGACTGGGCTTGGTGGCTCAACCTGTAACCCCGCACTTTGGGAGGCCGAGGTGAATGAATTGCCTGAGCCCGTGGGTTCGAGACCTGCCTGGGCAACTTGGCAAGATCTCATCTCTACAATAAATCAAAAAATTAGCCGGCCGTGGTAGTGCGCACCTGTAGTTCTGGCTACTTGGAAGACTGAGGCGGAAGGATCGCCAGAGCCCAAAAGGTTGAGGCTGCGGTGGCCGGGAGCGTGCCACTGCACTCCAGTCTGGGCGACGGAGTGAGACTGCAACCCCCCCCCAAAAAAAAATTCACAGGGGCACATCTTGATTGGATCCGCAGGGAAAGCTGCAGATTTGCAGTAAGGCCAACTCTCTGGGAGATATGATTTGTGACTTCATTGCCTATTTAAATTGATGCCTCCTTATTCTTTGCTCCCATTCAGTTCACAAAAATAGTGAAAAACAATGCCATCATATCCACATCTTACATGACTTTGCATGCTGATTTGAGTTAATTGAATCTAGGTTTACTTAGAGTCAATATCAGTAGAGGAGGAGGTGACCAAATGCCCAACCAAGTCCCCATCTCGCCCCTTATTGATGTTCCTGGTGTCTATTTTTTCCATCTTTGTGCATGGTCTTCCCCTTAATTCTCTTTTAAATGTAAAAAATATATCATTGTGGCACTTAGATCAAACAAACAAAAAGATTAAGAGATTCAAGAGAATGTTTTGAGGAATTAACGATTTGAAATCCATGTAAATACCTATGTGGATATAATTAAAATAGACTAAACCAGGTTATGACTTGTACATGCAGTGGCTATTCTTCAAATCATTTGAAAGTGTTTATTGAGCACTTCATGTACCAAGGGTCATGCTCGTTGTTGGTGATACAGTGGAGGAAGAATCAAATATGACCTATGCCCTCAAGTGCTTATGTTTAAAGAGAAGCAGTTGATTTGCAGGTATTTTTAGTTCAAGATAAAGGATATTGGCTGGGCTCGGTGGCTCAGCCTGTAATCCCAGCACTTTGGTAGGCCAAGGCGAGCGGATTGCCTGAGCCCGCAGGTTTGAGATCAGCCTGGGCGACTTGCTGAGACCTCGTCTCTACAATAAATCAAAAATTAGCTGGGCGCGGTGGCATGTGCCTATAGCTCCAGCTACTTGGAAGGCTGAGGCGGAAGGATCCCCGGAGCCCAGCAGGTTGAGGCTATGGTGGCTGTGAATGTGCCACTACACTCCCAGTCTGGGTGACAGAGTGAGAGACTCCAACTCAAAAAAAAAAAAAAAGAAAAGAAAAGGATATTAAGATCGGATCAAGAGAATCAATACAACCTGCTGATGGAGGAGGAAGTGACCAAATGTACAACCAAGTTATTTAATTGCATACACCACACTGGGTTATTTCAAGGGATAGGGATTCTACAACAATTTGTGTGCTGAATTGTGCCAGCAAGAAGGCCCTTACCAGACGGGACCCCTGGACTTCGGACTTCTCAGCCTCCATAACTGTAAAATAAACTTATTTTCTTAATAAATTATCCAGTTTTGCTGGGCTTGGTCGCACAGCCTGTAATCCTAGCACTTTGGGAGGCCAAGGTGAGTGGATTGCCTGAGCCTGCAGGTTCAAGACCAGCCTGAGCAACTTGGCAAGACCTCATCTCTACAATAAGTTAAAAAAAAATTAGCCTGGCATAGTAGTGCGCACCTGTAGTTCCAGCTACTTGAAAGGCTGAGGCAAGCCGGGCTTGGTGGCTCAGCCTGTAATCCCGCGCCTTTGGGAGGCTGAGGTGAGTGGACTGCCTGAGCCTGTGGGTCTGAGACCTCATCTCTCAGCAAGACCTCATCTCTACAATAAATCAAAAAAATCAGCTGGGCATGGTAGCGCATGCC